CAGTAAAGTGTCCCAGACAGGCATTGGTCAGCAGGAAGACATAGGGACCCCTCCTCTTCCCAGTAAAGAGTTCCAAAAGGTATGTAGGAAAACGTAAGGACCCTTCGCATTCCTGGTAAATGGTCTCCCAGAAGGTTAGCAGGGAAACGTAACGACCCCTCCCCTCCCCAGTTAAGGGTACCAGACAGGCATTGGTCAGCAGGGAGACACAAGGTTCCTTCCTTTTCCTAGTAAAGGGTCCCAGATGGTTAACATCGAAATGTAAAGACCTGTCCACATTTAGTATGCAGCAAAAAGGCAGCAGTGTATTTTTCTGTCTTCTGATTAAATGGTCATTACAGATATTTGTTCATAGGTACTCACGTCATAGAGGCTTTTCATTTAAAATGTCCCCACGGATCATCTTAATGACAGATACTTGATAAATCTGAAATATTTTTATAAAAAGAATGTGATTGTTTGCATGAATCTTACTGGAGGAGAAAATTGAGTGTTAGCATGATGGGTGCAGTGGTATTTGCCCGGAATGATCTGTGTGACAATGGCCATGAGTCACAAGAGATGAAGGGAACATAATGGGGGCCACTTGTGGCACAGCTCATCTCCAGGGATGCACTTCATTGCAATAAGCCCAAAATTGTTGGTTTGTGTCTCACAGATTGAATTATATAAACCAGATTATTATGGATTGCAAATTAGCATTTATATAGATGATTATCAGTGTGTATTACACTTGATGAAGCCTGATTAGATTAACTGGAAGATTAAGAATTTTCAATTCACATGAGATTGTAAGGTCTGCATATTGCTGGGGCCAAGCCTCATGTTTGCTCAATTAATTTCTTATAATGAAGATGGAATTGCCAATTTATATTGTGTTTTAAGAAAATTGCTATTAAGACAGTGCTTTGTGGGATAATGGCTTGCTCAGAGAGAGGTTTTGACTCGACAGTGCCAAAATAGTTGTTGTGTACTGCTTTGAAAAATGTGCATAATTCTATGTACTTTTCACAGTGAAATATTTGTAATTCATTGTCATCTTCCCTTTTTGAAAAAAGTGCATTACGATTAGCATGTCTGTGCATCAGTCTGTCCCAAATCCTCTTTTCTATTTGAAGTACATTTGCTGTACAGAGACATCTAGTGTTAAACTGGTTCCTTTTTTTTTGATTAAATTGTGTATTTTTTTGTTTTCCTCATGACAAGATGTACATGCTGTTAAGGAGTGAAACTCCAAAATCATTGAATATTTGAAGATGAAACTTACAAAGATCAGTCTAGTGGGTTGACTGATGCCTTTTGATGATTTTTTTTATATATTTTGTAGATGTTTTAGGTTTTCATGACAGCAGCCCCCCTGAGAGGGTACGTAAGACCCAAAACTTTCAAAGTAAAATTTAAACATACCGATTTTTTTAAACGTAGCCTTCTTGTTATTTTTAGCTAAATTTTCCTACAATCGCCAGTGGCTGAGGGGTTGGTGTAAATCCAGCTAGGGTCCATGCAGGTAGCAAAGGCACTGTAAGTCTCCATGGTCCCTAGTATGGTGATCTACCTTCAGTTGTTTACATTTTTACATTGTATGGTCCAGACATCATTTTCTACTTTTAAAGATATATGCTAGCTAGTTTAACTCAATATGTGATAATCTAGTGGTTTTACTGTCCTTCGTTGACAGGGTTTTATATATCATATGTATGTGTTATGAATTTAGAACTTGTTTTAGTCACGATATGGCTGAAATATTGCTGATGTGACTTTAAACTCACTCACTCACTCACTCACTCACTCTGATGACAGCAGCAGAGCAAATGCCTTTAATTTGTGGGTTGTAGGGGCGACATTCCTTACATATGTGCAGTGCACCAACCATATTTCTTATATTTGTGGGGTGCACCAACCACTTTCCTTATATTTGTGGGGTGCACCAACCACATTCCTTACATATGTGCTGTGCACCAACCACATTCCATATATTTGTGGGGTGCACCAACCACATTCCTTATATTTGTGGGGCACACCAACCTCATTCTTTATATTTGTGAGGTGCACCAACCACATTCCTTACATATGTGCTGTGCACAACCACATTCCATATATTTGTGGGGTGCACCAACCTCATTCTTTATATTTGTGGGGTGTACCAACCACATTCCTTATGTTTGTGGGGTGCACCAACCACATTCCTTTTATTTGTAGGATTCAGGAAGCACATTCCTGACATTCCATGTGGGGGGTACAGGGGAGCGCATTCCTCAAATGTGGAGGTTGTAGGAGAGCACATTCCTCATGTGTGGGAGTTGCAGGGGAGCACATTCCTCATGTGGGAGGTTGCAGGAGAGCACATTCCTCACATGTGGGGGTGCAGGAGAGCACATTCCTCATGTAGGAGGTTGCAGGTTGCAGGGGTTGCAGGAGCACATTCCTCGCGTGTGGGGGTTGCAGGGGAGCACATTCCTCATATGGGAAGTTGCAGGAGAGCACATTCCTCACATGTGGGTGTTGCAGGAGAGCACATTCCTCATATGTGGAGGTTGCAGGAGAGCACATTCCTCACATGTGGAGGTTGCAGGAGAGCACATTCCTCACATGTGGTTGTTGCAGGAGAGCACATTCCTTACATGTGAAGGTTGCAGGAGAGCACATTCCTCACATGTGGTTGTTGCAGGAGAGCACATTCCTCACATGTGGAGGTTGCAGGAGAGCACATTCCTCACATGTGGTTGTTGCAGGAGAGCACATTCCTCACATTTGGTTGTTGCAGGAGAGCACATTCCTCATATGTGGAGGTTGCAGGAGAGCACATTCCTTACATGTGGAGGTTGCAGGAGAGCACATTGCTCACATGTGGTTGTTGCAGGAGAGCACATTCCTCACATGTGGAGGTTGCAGGAGAGCACATTCCTCACATGTGGTTGTTGCAGGAGAGCACATTCCTCACATGTGGAGGTTGCAGGAGAGCACATTCCTCACATGTGGAGGTTGCAGGAGAGCACATTCCTTACATGTGGAGGTTGCAGGAGAGCACATTCCTTACATGTGGTTGTTGCAGGAGAGCACATTCCTCACATGTGGTTGTTGCAGGAGAGCACATTCCTTACATGGTGGGGTTGCAGGGTAGCAGTACTCCTTAAATTTTTGGGATGGAGTGGTCCAATTTACATTTGTAAAGAGAAACTTTGGTTGGTTGTGTATGCATACCAATTTGTTCGCTACCTTCAGGTTCACTTTGTATTATTCATTTTCAAGTTGAACAGACCAAGCTTTAATCAGACTTGAGGAAAATAGAATACTGGACTGTTCTTATAACTGATCATGTGGTAATTTTTATTTGAAATTTGACTCAGTGGGACATCTGTTTTCAGCTTGGTGCATCTTCTACTTCACGCAACTCAGGATATATTTCTGACTTCTAAAGCTCTGTTGGGAATTAATGAAATCCCTTAAGACTGCATGAGCTGATTACCGGTGTTGTTGTGTGAGGAGTTTGTGGGTTCGATGTACGAGTCCTTATCATGTGTGAAATGTGGAATGAACGATGCCCCTGTTTCTTTCCTTGAGTGGATACACACACTCTGTGGAGGATGCAGTCATCGTTCTATTATCTTCTAAGAGATTATAGGGTTTCTCCCTTAGGTTCTAAAAGATTTTATCAAAAAAGATTCTGAAAATCTCTGTGGATTAGAGCTGTCAGGTTATTTCCAGGAATTGATTATCATTACAGGTGTGAGTTAGACCTTGATGCCTATAGTCACTCACGCATCCTCTTTCATTTGTTGGCAGATCTCCCCAAACAGCCCCACTGGACATACGTGGGATAGGCTCCCGAATGGGATGATACCTTACTGCTTGCTATTCAAGTGTGAAAGATAGAGATCTGTAAAGTTGATGCCCCAGGGTAGTTAAAGGTAGCAGCCCTGAAATGTTATTGTAACTAATATACACGTTGAACTGAAACAATGTTAAGAAGTCAGGTGTAGGTTGCAATCTCGTTTCTTTATGGTCTGATCAGGGCAGATAACTCTTCACAGGTCAGCAGCAAGTGAGAATTAGGTCCATTGTGTGCACACCCGTCTAGCTTTTATTTCACCTGTGCTACCGTTTAAATTTGCTCAATTTCCCATGAAGTTGGCTATGCTTTGATCCAGTGTCACTTGTCAGTTTTCCATCAAAGATACTCCATCATGATTGAACGTAAACTGAAAGTTATAATTAAGTAATGAAATAGGTATTTTATGGTAGGGAACTATCACCTGAAAACATGACCAGCACAAGGTGCTTGACGTAAGTCACCTCGGGATCAACTCCATTACCACAGAATCTTTGCCAACTCATTCTATGTGCGTGTATATGAACATGTATGTTGGTTGTTTGCTTCTTGTTAATTGCAGCACTCTGACTGTAATATGACAACAGTCTGTAAATAATCAAATCTGGACAAGACAATCCAGGGATTTATTGTCATTTGCAACATGCTGTTTGGGGTACAGTGACACACTGCCAACTAAGTCATCAAGCATGACCCCCTGATACTGGATACTGTCGGGTGTACAGGTTCTTCATGGTGGACATGTACTCCAGGACCCTGGGATGGCTTGATAGTTTGGATCTGTCTGCATCTTAGTGTGGGTAGTGTGCTGCTTCTCCCATATGTGGTAGTGAAGGGTTTAAGTATATAGATAGCCTTGAACTGGAGTATATTCCCTTGTAATATACTCATGCCAAATAATCGATGCAAATAACACTTTTGTCTTGACCATGTACTCACCTTGTACTCACTGTAATGGTTCAAGTGCACACATTCAGGGTTCCCCCATAATTGTGGATTCCTTCACAGAACTTGTACCTTTTATTATTAAGTGTATTATTTTAGGAACAGTTGCTCTTTGTGGAGTACGTAGAAGAAACCTTGTGGACTGCTGTTTACATTGAAGGTTGACTGGTAGGGTTGATGTTTTACTGGGTGGTATAAGTGTTTAATTGTGTTGTTTCTCTTGCAGGGACTGCAGCAATTTCCCTGAGCCTGCCACATACACTGCTTCTCCTGTCAGCTCAGCAGATCATTGGTAAGTCAATCCTAAGCAGATAATGAAGACAGAGTAACAAGGGTGAGAGGATTGTTTTCTTCAGAACTTTTATGTCTTCCAAGAGCAGGCGTGCTAGTGACTTACTGACATCATTTTCACTCGTATTTGGATCTTTGGACCTTCATGCTCATGCTTTAACAATAATTGTTCGGGACAAAACTGTACTTTCTAAGACTATACCTTGGGGTAGAGCGAACTGTATTTTTTAATTAGGCCAAAAAAAATAAATGTTATGGTTCCGATTTCCTACATTTCAGAACTAGGGTAGGTAGGTAGTTTTTGGGGTTTTTTTTGCAAAATATTTTTACATTACTCATCATACTCATGTGTCAGAAAATAAATTTAATTTATTATGTGGTGAGTAAAATTGTTAGGCTCGGCGGGAATATTTAGGGTCGGTCGGGAAATCGGAACCACAAGCTTTTTTTTTTTAGGCCTTGCAGCACGATTGTTGGTACAGTAATAGTTGAGGATAAAACTGTACTTTCTAAGACTATACCTGGGGTAGCATTAAAACTGATTGTTTTCTTAATTACAGCATGATTGTTGGTACAATAATAGTTGAGGATAAAACTGTACTTTCTAAGACAATAATAGTTGAGGATAAATAAAACTGTACTTTCTAAGACTATACCTGGGGTAGCTAACTGTATTTCTTAATTACAGCATGATTGTTGGTACAATAATAGTTGAGGATAAAACTGTACTTTAGTTGAGGAGGATAAAACTAAAACTGTACTTTCTAAGACTATACCTGGGGTAGCTTTAACTGTATTTCTTAATTACAGCATGATTGTTGGTACAATAATAGTTGAGGATAAAACTGTACTTTCTAAGACTATACCTGGGGTAGCTTGAACTGTATTTCTTAATTACAGCATGATTGTTGGTACAATAATAGTTGAGGATAAAACTGTACTTTCTAAGACTATACCTGGGGTAGCGCGAACTGTATTTCTTAATTACAGCATGATTGTTGGTACAATAATAGTTGAGGATAAAACTGTACTTTCTAAGACTATACCTGGGGTAGCGCGAACTGTATTTCTTAATTACAGCATGATTGTTGGTACAATAATAGTTGAGGATAAAACTGTACTTTCTAAGACTATACCTGGGGTAGCGTGAACTGTATTTCTTAATTACAGCATGATTGTTGGTACAATAATAGTTGAGGATACAACTGTACTTTCTAAGACTATACCTTGGGGTAGCGACTATACCTGGGGGTGAACTGTATTTCTTAATTACAGCATGATTGTTGGTACAATAATAGTTGAGGATACAACTGTACTTTCTAAGACTATACCTTGGGGTAGCGTGAACTGTTTTTCTTAATTACAGCATGATTGTTGGTGTTGTGACAGGTCAGCATGAAGGTAAATTGTCATTTAGTTTAATCGACACACAGACTGGCATCTTAACTGGCGTACAGCTGCTGTCTACACAGTAATGTATCTCCCACTTGGCGAGTCATGTGAATATCATGAAAATGTAGCATGTATGGAATTTCCTTTAGAAGAGAAGGAGGTTACAAAACCTTATTTATAATATTCATACTGAGGCCAGGGAATAAAATAGTTTGCAGGTGACAATGTTGTGAGAGAAAGCTGGACCAAATCCACTCCCACTGACACCGATGGTGTTAGTTTTAACATGGGCCTGATTGGGTGTCACCAAAAGTCAACATTTTGGATTGAGTTGTAGGGCTACACGAATATGGCTGATATGTGGATTTAGGTAATGTTTTTACCACCTTGCTTGTGAACAACCACTGCACGAGTTATTTCAGGAAAGTTGGCTGGAGCAGATATAGAACCCAACTGATGACACACTTGTCGTTTGTGTTAAAGGATGAGGAACTATTGCCTGGGACAAATGTGTTTGTGGTGACACTATACTGTAAGACAGTCACAGATCACATCCAACACACAAAGTGCTGCGTTTGCCACCAGCTTGAGGAAATCAATGCTGCACAAAGCAAATACTGGGATGAGAAGGGTGGAGAGCGTCTGCCCTATCATATCCCGCCGTTATTTATGATTTGTGATCCCTGTACCCATACAAACATCTTTGCAGGATCTGACTTTTCACTACAGACATATGTATTTATTCTTTGTCTTCCCGGCATATGGCTGCCACCTGCCTTCAGTGCTGAAGAGGTAATGTCCCTACCTATGTAAGATCCCAGGGGGTTGGAAAGAGGGATCAGCCCTGGAAAGATGAACAACAGTTGCTAGAAGCAGCCCACAGATAAAGATATCTTGCTCTTGGGAATTCAGGAGATACTTATGGTTCATATTCCGACCACCCATTGCAGTTTTTCATTTGTCATCAATTAACAATTGAAACCATGGAAACAATTCCAGAACCATGATGTACTATGTAAGAAGGTGTTAGGAAATTCATGAGAATCGCAGCTGTGATTGATATTGGGTCAGCCTCATCAATAGTTACTGTCATGCGGGAGATTGAGTTGATGGAGCAGAGTACCTGGGCTGAGAGGTGGTACCTTCATCTTGGTGTGATTGTAGATAGGTTTGCCTGACAAAGGGCCATCAAGCAGGTAGTTGAGGTCTTGCTTCATAGGTAGTGGTCATGAAATTATCTGAGGTAAAGCCAATATGAGATTAAAAATTTAGAGGAAAATTGCCACTTGTTCTGTCGTAAGCATCTTGTGTAGAGTTGAAAAAATGATGGCACACTGGGAATTGCTTAACTTAGACCATAACATATTTTTATAGCTGTTTGGATGGCAAGCTTTTGAGCAATGGTGAAATGATGGTTTTCAAGCTTCAAAAGTTGTCTTCCAATTAACTATTATTGGCCCTTGCAGCATGAAAGTCAAATTTAAGATTTTGCACCAAGTGAAGGTGAAATGTTCAAGTACAAGCGTTTACCCAGGAAACTGCTATAACATGGCCAGTAGGAAAATATTATTAGGACGTGAGGTACCCCAGATGCTATTTTGAAGATGGAAGACAATTATTCCTACCAGTTGCCACATAGATTTGCAGAACTTGTTACCAATTACATGTTTGCTGATGCCTAAAGGATAAGTTCTAGGAAACAGCTTTGAAGTAATACAAATTGTGTGAAAAAACTGTAAGCAGCTAAACACTATGTTTTAATATTTTCAATGAGAATGCTGGTGAAAGGAGTTAGCATTTACATGCTGCACTGGGAGGAACTCGGCAGAGTACCAGCTAGGCTTATAGTGGGAAGGCCAGCACAAATGAAGAGGCAAGCATATAAAGAAGTATATTATCTAACTGCTGGAGGGTTTCCCTACACAGAAATGCTTTTGAGCAAATGAGATGGAAAAAGTTCAATTGGTTCTCCAGCTATCTACAAGTGATTGCTCCAGGGTCAGCTTCCACAAGAGTAATTACGCTTCCTCAACATGTGCAGCCATACACCAACACTTCATGTACTCACTACAAGCAGTTTTTGTTTGACCCAGTCTTGTCAGGAACCAGGGTTGATATATCTGCAATAAGCTTTGATATCTTCTATTCACATTATGTAATGGTAATGTCTTTTGAGATCTTTTGTAATTCTTTTGAGATCATTACAACGGATCACTTTGTAAATATTTAAATGGTCTGTTTGTATCCTGCATAGAGAAATCTTTTCACTAATGCTAGAATACTCTGTATTTCATTCAGAATGACTTGTGAAAGACTTGGAATCAATGCATTTAAATCAAGAGGTCAAACTCAGCTTCTGGATCAGTGTTCAGTAAGTAAAGGATGGAAGGTCCGTGAAAAAAAGAATCCTGGCAAAAATCAAATAAAGTGTGAAACATAACTTTGCAATGATGTAGGTCCCCAAATTGCCCCCAATGACTTCATGTTCTTCAAAAGTTCTGGATTGGGCAGCCCTGCAGGAAGCCTGGTTTCGCCAGGTGACCCACACAATTGAATTAGGTTTGGACTCCACACCCAAAGCTCTATTGAAGATTTTATCCCTGCTTTCTCTTGGGGCTGTAGCAGCCGAAGTTTGATAGAGGAGTTAGCCATAATAAATTGTCACTCGTTAATGCTGCTGTTGCTACAGCAACTTATACTTACCTCTTCCCCATCAAACCCACCCTATAACACAGTTACCATGGTTAAGTTAATGTCATCTTTTTGTTATAAGCGTTTTCCACCAAAAAGGAAAACGCTATCAGTATGATGTTGTCTGATGTACATGTATTTGATTTCTTCACATCATGTGTGATAACTTCACATATGCCCTTAGGGCAAACAGGATTACAATCATATCTTGATGTCTACCAGTAAATCCTTTTTACTGCTAAGTAAAATACGTTTTGTGAATCACATTTATGGTTGTTAAATCTGATTAGGAGTAGCAGTTAGGTTTCATTCATTCCTCATATATGAAGCATGAAGAATCTAATGAAAACTGACCACTGGCCACAAAACTATCACATACAACAAGAAGCACCTGTCGGTAAAACATCAGAAATATTATATTTTCAATTTCTGGTTCATATTGTGGCATTACATTGTACGTAAATGTACTTGTAAACATTTTCATAAGTCAAGACCTCTGCGTGTTCCGGCTACTTGACTTTCAATAGCAAAGGATTGATTTAATGCATAGCTGAACAGTTTGATATGGAACAATTTTGTCATTTTGTTGAAGAATATTGTTTAATGTAAGCTAACCTTTTACCACTGCCTATGGCACTTGTCAAAACATGACATTTCAAAGACGAAGGAGTATGCATGGATGGTCATGTTAACATGGGCTAGGAGACTGGGCTGAGCTGAATGTGGGTATTATTATATGTCTTGTTCACCAACCATCAGCAGTCTCAAGCTTTGTTGTACAGGGCCTAATGATAGGCTATGCTAAACACTAATGCCTCCACTGGTCTTCATGTTAGATGTCTTTGTTGCTTAGTTAGCGTTGACAGTATGGATGTTTTTCTGTCCTAATGTCCACCTAGGTTATTATGTATGATGGGAAGTGTATGTTTACTTGCTGTGAGAACATACAGATTAATGTAGAAACCGATGATACTACAGCGATGGACCGGCTCCAAGGGTGGAGTTTCTTTCTTTTAATTTGTAAGTATAGACAGCAGTTTTAGTTCTTTGGTGTTTGGTCGTATATTTATGCAACACTGTAAAAGAAGCTCAAAAGTAATTAGCAATGATCTTAAGAATTTCTTATCTGTAAAACACATACCAATCTTACGCTGTTATGAAAACAGTTGTGCATTTACTCATGATTAAATTACTGGATTGTCTGGTCCAGACTCACTTATTTACAGGCCACCGCCATATGGAATATTGCTGAGTGCAGCATAAAACTAAACTCACTCACTCACTCATGATTAGATTAATAGTTATTTCTTAACTAAACTCAAACATACCTGTTAGCTAAAGATTATGGTACATGCATCACACCTGCTGGTGTTTTGTTTCAGTGAAGGCTTGCTTGTATTTCAACAATAGCAGGGATAACTAGCACAAACAAGCCAGCACATGATTTTATGTGGAGTGGTTATATGCTTGTCCATAACCACCACTGATATATATACAGTTCCTGTTGTGATGCACAACCTTACCATACACTTGTTTGTATCACACAGATTTTCCTAGTGCACTTGAATTTTATCTTCTCTAATTCCATGACTTGTCAAGTATGGTGACGTCCATCTTGTATTTCAGTATACTTATAAATTGTTTTATCAGCCTGCTTCATCTTAGATAAGAGATGTGTGATCAAAAGGCACACTCATATGACCTTGTTCCACATAGTTGTGGCAAGGAACTCTGTGAGAGGTCTTAATATGGCAGATTTTGCCAAGCACATCATGTAATTTATCATTCTCAACTCAAGTATTTCTCCCACCATTCACACATAACACTCTGCACTACTGCAATATTAATACTTTAAGTTCAAGCTGTCCATTTATATCATATTTATATGTGTTTAATTGATGAAATTGCTAACAGACAGTTACTTTATTGCCAACGACCCAGGTTTTCTAATGTAAATGCACTTTGGAAGATTACGATCAATTAACTGGGAAAATCTTACAGTCATGGGCAGGCAGCAAAAACCTTTGACTGATGTGTGTGATGACAGAAGCAACTGCAACAGCCTGCCTTGACTTCAGCAGCCGAGCAGACGGGCAGGCAGGCTCTCTTTTTCACTACTTTATCTCGGCCAGTTTTCAGTCCAAGTTTGCCATTCCAAGTTTGCCATCCTGCTGATACCAGGGACTGTATGTTCCTGTCACTCATGTGTCTTCCCTATCGTTTCTGCAGGGGCAGTAGCCAGAGGATCTCATCAGAGGATCTCACCAGAGGATCTAACCAATATCACATTCTGGCATGTGTTCACTTAATGCAATTCTCATAAAACAAGCAGTAATGGCTGTATTTTAGCACAATTTTACATTTAGTTCTATATACTGCCTATTGGAGATAGCAAACAAGTTCTAAATTATTATTATCTTATTAGGAGCACGCTTCAGGTGATCAAAGTACTTTTGTAAGAGAAAAAAGGAATCATTAACATTTATGACATTTTGTGATGTACACTACCGAACACTGATAGACGAATCAATTCAAGGTGTTGTGTCTGACAGACATCTGCAAGCTGACATGGTGACATTTGTAATGAAGTAGATGACTGTGTAGACAAGAATGAGGGAACAAGCTGTAATACTGCATGAGAGATGGTCACAGCTGAGCCGAATCTGTCCCTGTAAACATCAGCCTATTGTTGGTCTCTCAAATCACACTTCAAAAGAAATATCAATGATTGCTCTGTAGTTGGTTGAGTAATTTACATGAGGAAAGAAACGTCTGAATGAATTGAAGAGATGTTTTATTCTGTTTCGACATTTAATTCGATATTCTGTCCTCACACACTTCCAAAATGTGGAAGCCGCTGAAACATTTTGGTCATTAGTATTACCTGTTTGTTTCTTTATCACTGGAGTTACTTTTGTTTTTTATATTTTTTGTTGATTCTTTTCAAACTAATTATCAACATTTTTGCATAAGCTTATCTCTAATTTGAATGTCTAACTTGAAATGTGGAACTTTTTCATCAAGACTATCAAACATTTTGTAATTTAACTCCGGAAGAATGCATGGGTTTCGCATCAGAATTTGATATAAAAAAAACAGTTTTACCTATCTCCCTATCTTATGCATGTCTAGGCGTTGGAATTAATGGCAAAACCTTGTGCTAGGAGTAAGATAAACCCTGAAGAGTAGTGTCCCAGGTGAATGACAACTGCACTGTTGTGATCATGTTGCTCTCTATATGTCATTCAAGCTGCACCTTGATGTGGAGGTGCTGCCAGTTGCACTGTGTAATGGTGCATCACACTGTACACTCAACCCTGCAGGGAACGCCATGGGATGATGATGGAAGGATACTGCCACTGTAGGCTGGGTTAGACACAGCTCAACTCACTTTTTACTTACTCGTGCTATGTGTGCACCAAGCTGCTACCTCTGCTAGACGGCATGAGTAATGCTTCATTGCAGCAATACTACCGGTAACTGTTCGCAGTGTCAAAATTGTCTTTGCTTCATTTGGTCTACAGTTGGGGAAATTGAAAATGGAGCTTTCATCGCAGAAACAAAGTTAACATTTATTCAGCTGCTAATCGGAGCCACATTCCCACATCTTCACGGTTTTAAAATGAATGAAACATTGTGAAAAAGTCCGGAAATGTGGCGTATTTCGGTCTAGAATAAATACACCAGTGAAGATTTGGTAGACATTTATCAGACTCAGTGTTTATCTTTGAAGTAATTTGAGATAAGATAAGCAGCTGATTTGATAAGTGTGACTGTTTGATTCTTTTTGCATTATTCTTATAATTGGTGCATCTAGAGTTTGAAATGGAACCAGTTGGAAGATGGTACCACTTGGTTTAGTTCTGTCAATGATATTCTGACTCTGAGACTAGTTCTGTCAGTGATATACTGAAGCTAGTTCTATCAGTGATATACTAAGTGTATGTCTGTCATTGGTATACTCAGGCTAGGTCTTTAATGATATACTGAAGCTAGTTCTGTCATTGATATACTAACATTTGTAATCTGTCAGTGATATACTGATGCTATTTCTGTCAATGATATGCTGAGGGTACTTTTGTCATTGGTATACTAAGCCTAGTTCTGTTACATTTGTGAGGCTATTTTGTATATGATGTGCTATGGTTGATTGGTCATGTCAGCTCACCTGCAAATAGAGAAACAAAAAGTTTTCAAAAGACAGCCATGCTTTAGAAGATTGTGGATGTTTTCACATGTATATTCTCTATAGCTGACTTTATGTTAAGAAATATACAGCCTCAAAGAATATGTTGATAACTTCATGTAGATGTCATGGTATATTTTTAGAATTAATGATTGACCTGTTCCTCTGAGTAAAAGAATGGGTGTGTGTGCTCAAGTGATATTCATATTACATTACAAAGATTCATTTACATAGATTGAAGACAGAATATAGGATACCAATTGCAGAATTCAGCCTGAAATTAAGCCTGTTTCTCTGTTTTTAGTTGAATCCAATTAATCTTCCTAGGTTTCTTACAAACTCACGAACTGTAAATGCAATTGTACTGATATCTTGGTAACAAAATCCCCGGTAAGTTCAAGCAGAGATAAGAAGAGATGATCAGGTCTGAAAATGTGATTGAGGGCTGAGCATATAGGCAACAATTATTTTTTTGTGCTTTAACTGGGTCCCTGGAGATACCCAGCCTACTCTCAGGTGTACTTTCAGAAAATTAATTGTTTTACTGTGATTAGGAATGAAGTGGTAGCACATGGTCAGGGAAGGTATTCCAAGCATCTATTACACTGAGGGGAAGGCACCTCCACCCCATAGTGTATAGAGGGGAAGGCACCTCTACCCCATACTGTATAGAGGGGAAGGCACCTCTACCCCATACTGTATAGAGGGGAAGGCACCCCCACCCTGTACTGTACAGAGGGGAAGGCACCCCCACCCCATACTGCACAGAGGGGAGCTCTCTAGTAGCCTTAGTCAGTGTACATGGGAGCTCTCTAGCAGCCTTGGTCAGTGTACATGGGAGCTCTCTAGCAGCCTTGTTCAGTGCACATGGGAGCTCTCTAGCAGCCTTGGTCAGTGTACATGGGAGCTCTCTAGTAGCCTTGGTCAGTGTACATGGGAGCTCTCTAGCAGCCTTGGTCAGTGTACATGGGAGCTCTCTCTCAGTGGGCAGGACAGAGCTGTGGTGGCATGCCCTACATCAGGATCAGGAAACATCTGATGATCGCTCAGAGAATTATGTTGATGATTGTTTTGACAGTACTGGCATGAATTCGAGATGATAACCATCTCAGAAAATATACATTTACTTGAACAAATATACACATTTTGTTTTCTCAAACATTGCTTGTTTGATTGATGCATTCATCAGAAAAAAAGAAGATATTTCTTTCTTCTGTAAGCTGAGTTATTTTCAGATTTCTGGTATTTAATTTGTCGTTTAATCATGCCACTAGTGTTTGTTTGAGGCCTAGTTACTCATGAAAGTTATTCTTCTCTTTTAAGCGATAACACTTCATTTATTATCAACCTGATTTGAAATATTGGGGGATATATATTGATCAGCATGTCTGTATGTCCACCATTTTCTATTTCAGGAGCAGAACTTCTAAACAGATCAGTATTTCTTGTTGAAACGTGCTATATAGATAAATGAAGTGGTGACTTGTGATGATTTTGGATTTATGTATTTCCTATTTTTATGTTTTTTCATGATGATGAGGGTGGCTTTCTGAAAATTATATAAAATGAAATTGCTATACATACAAGTGATACCAGACAAAAGATGTCAGTATTTGGTCACACATACAAGTGATGACCCCCTCATGAAACCAGTATATACCAGGTCACATATATAGGTGATGACCAACACATTATGCCAGTATTAGGTCACATATATAGGTGATAATCAACACATAATGCCAGTATTGGGTCACATATATAGGTGATGACCAATGCATAACACCAGTATTAGGTCACATATATAGGTGATAACCAACACATTATGCCAGTATTAGGTCACATATATAGGTGATAACCAACACATGCCAGTATTAGGTCACATATATAGGTGATAACCAACACATTATGCCAGTATTAGGTCACATATATAGGTGATAACCAACACATTATGCCAGTATTAGGTCACATATATAGGTGATAACCAACACATGCCAGTATTAGGTCACATATATAGGTGATAACCAACACATTATGCCAGTATTAGGTCACATATATAGGTGATAACCAACACATGCCAGTATTAGGTCACATATATAGGTGATAACCAACACATTATGCCAGTATTAGGTCACATATATAGGTGATAACCAACACATGCCAGTATTAGGTCACATATATAGGTGATAACCAACACATTATGCCAGTATTAGGTCACATATATAGGTGATAACCAACACATTATGCCAGTATTAGGTCACATATATAGGTGATAACCAACACATGCCAGTATTAGGTCACATATATAGGTGATGACCAACATATAATGCCAGTATTAGGTCACATATATAGGTGATAACCAACACATTATGCCAGTATTAGGTCACATAAATAGGTGATGACCAACATATAATGCCAGTATTAGGTCACATATATAGGTGATGACCAACATATAATGCCTGTATTAGGTCACATATATAGGTGATAACCAACACATGCCAGTATTAGGTCACATATATAGGTGATAACCAACACATTATGCCAGTATTAGGTCACATATATAGGTGATAACCAACACATGCCAGTATTAGGTCACATATATAGGTGATGACCAACATATAATGCCAGTATTAGGTCACATATATAGGTGATGACCAACACATAATGCCAGTATTAGGTCACATATATAGGTGATGACCAACACATATTGCCAGTATTAGGTCACATATATAGGTGATAACCAACACATTATGCCAGTATTAGGTCACATATATAGGTGATGACCAACACATATTGCCAGTATTAGGTCACATATATACCCAACACATAATGCCAGTATTAGGTCACATATGCCCAACACATGCCAGTATTAGGTCACATATATACCATGCCAGTATTAGGTACATATATACCGGTAGGTGATGACCAACACATTCCAGTATTAGGTCACATATATACCGGTAGGTGATGACCAACATGTAATTATTAGATCAGACATACAATAAGAGATCATGATCAAGTTTACAACTCACCCATGTGAAACTGAAAGTAGCTATTATTATTTTTCTGATTCATGTTTGAAACTTTCATATCTGAGGATCTGTGGGTAATCTTTTATGGGCTCAGGTCACAGTAAATGTTCTACAGTCTGAAAATCACTTTTCACACTTATTGGTTTGTCTTTGACAGGTTTGATCATGTTGTGGTAGATAAAAGATAAGACAAAGATAAAATATTTATTGTGCAAGCGTTCCATACAGAAACAGTGACAATATTCTATAAACTACATAAACAAGATATATAATGAATCATATATATATGATGAGCAACAAAACATATAATAATACACATGTGTATAATAATAGGGATGCAATGCTATCACTTTTCTTAAGCAAAGTTTTGGTTTATTTCAAAGTGGTATTGATAATATTCTTTGTTCAGCATTCATTCATACACTGTAAATACTGAAATTCCAGAGTGACAATAGTGACACCACCATCCCAAGACTTAAGAAGATATCTTCAATGGTCTTACTCCACATGGATATTGGGAACTCTTTTAGTAAAATGTATTGAGCATGTCAAAGCTCAAGTTTATGAAATAGTGAAAGCTCCGTCAAAAGTTTGTGTTTACACTTTCTCTTGAAGTATTAATGCATGTGTCATTAAATGCAGTCCATGCCTTCAGTATGATAAAGCCTGCTTTGAAATGGATTAGATCAAAGGTCATGGTCAGAATTCAGGTTTTTATCGCATCTACAGACATGATACTATACATTTGCATATATCTTTACAAATCCTCTAATGTTGATGATAGCTTCAGCAATGTCATGGTCATCTGTGAGGCTATTGTGAAACATGGCTGTATCATGTAACTTGTACTGTCCTGGGACTATTGTCTCAGCTGAGTCAGGTCATCTTGACAACAAGTACATGTTGGAACATAAAGATTATAATTGTTTAGTAAATGGCAATCACAGAGATGTTTCTGGTTTTGCAAGTTCTTGCAAACACTTGTAGTTTGTTCAGATAATTGGGATTTAAGTGTGTTTATTGCAAGTTGCCAGTAATTATAATAGTTGAATAACAATATAGCAGTTTTTGTCAGTTTGTGAAGTGACTGTGTTTATTTATATTTTAAACTGTTGGCTGCAGTGCCGGGACACTATTATCTATTTTGGAAAGTAAGGTACTTTAATGTGAACCCCTCACCAGAATCTGTGTGGTATTTTGTAGACAGTTTGGTGGAATGTGTGCAATATCAGTCTTGACAGTGTGGCTGGACATATTTGTTTGAGTGTCTCCTGGACAAAAACAACAATAAACAGGCCAGTATTTAGTCAGCATGGCAGCCCTCAGCAACTGGGACATGTGGTGTGATCCCTGCTGATAGCCTATGTTCTGTTGTAAACAGCATACACAGGCATCGCCAAATACACAAACAATAGTAATGCCACCAAATGTTCTAATTTTTAGTGTCCAAAGGTATCAGGATACCAGGGTTATATCAGGGTGTTACAAATCAACTTTTTTTTTCTTTTTTCTTTTCACCATTGTCCTGGACAATCTATATGTGTGTCTGGTTCCAAGTTGGATTCATCTTGGGATGGCTGGCTATGTATGTATCTGTGTGTCTGGTTCCAAGTTTGGCATATCTAGGATTGCATGTTGTTGGAAGGTTGTGTATGTATCTGTGTGTCTGGTTCCAAGTTGAAATGAAACGTCAAGGGGTGGATGTGTAGGCATCTGAGTGTCTTATGTCAGGGAAAGTGTCCTGTAGATATTAATTTAGTGTCACATTGGTTTTTACGTGCTACAGATGGTTTTGGAGTAACAAGTCTGTGACTGAATGGTATGTGCATGTCATATGACCCAGTGAGGTCAGGTATGTAGACTTCCTTCCTCTGATAATTGCTGTGGTATGCAGACATACTTGGAGAACCGAGGGGCCAGTTCCCAATTACCTTATGCCATGTTACTTCCCTCTCACCCCAAGGTGTGCACCTGCTGGGCCTGTGCTACCGTTTAGATTTATGCAGTTTGTAACTCTATATACAACATGGCACAAAGTGTTCTGAAAACTACCACCAAGTCAGCTTTGTAATTGTCAATCATATTGCAGTTGAAAGTCAGAAATGGGATTACTCCTTCTTTTGTCAATTAAGAGTGATGGTAAGAAAAACTGTTATATTCTGTGAAATGCAACAAGAAGAAAATATCTTTTAATTGCTTTTGACCATGTCAGCTAAAAGATTTAATGTCTACAATGATGACTAAGTGCAAAGTGTTTTAGCTATATTCTCGGTACAACACAAATTTCATGACATGTTTAATGATGTTCAAGAATGGTAATGTTTTACACTTCATGTGCACCCCTTTGGCCTTACCAAACATCCTGTAACTCAACCCTTTGTCATTACCTATCCTCCTGTAACTCAATCCTTTGTCATTACCCATCCTTCTGTAACACCATCCTTTGTCTTCACCTATCCTTCTGTAACTCAACCCTTTGTCATTACCCATCCTTCTGTAACTCAACCCTTTGTCATTACCTATCATTCTGTAACTCAACCCTTTGTCATTACCTATCATTCTGTAACTCAACCCTTTGTCATTACCCATCCTTCTGTAACTCAACCCTTTGTCATTACCCATCCTTCTGTAACTCAACCCTTTGTCATTACCCATCCTTCTGTAACTCAACCCTTTGTCTTCACCTATCCTCCTGTAACTCAATCCTTTGTCATTAACCCCATCCTTCTGTAACTCAACCCTTTGTCTTCACCTATCCTCCTGTAACTCAATTCTTTGGCCTTACCCATCTTATTGGTTTGTATTACAAGGGGGTAACACCAAGAACAAGAGGGGTTGATCTAAGTTAATGTTCATCACGTACCACACATGCATTTGTTTCTCTGTTCCAACTACTGCGCCTTAATCTTAATCTTAATCTCACTTAATTTGATTTACTTTTTTGTTTAAAGTGAAATTCATCAGTACGTTTTCACTGCAAAGAGACTATAACATGTTAGTCTCCTATTCAACCACCCACTTCCCTGTGTCTTCCTCATTCATCTTCTCACTCCTCATTCATGTAGTTGTCACCTAACTGTATCTCCTCTTTCATCTTCCCCCATTTACCTGTAACTCGCCAATTCGTCTATTCCCTACTTCCCGGTAATGCTCATTTTATCTACTGCTGGCCCACCTGTATTTCCTCATTCATCTATTCCTCCATAACCTTCATCTGTTCCCCAATTACCTGTAATTCCTTATTATCTCCTGTTCACCTACCTGTAACCCACCTATTCCTACAAAGTCACTGTTGCACTGTTGTATCGATAATACCTGCATGCAGTTGTTCCTTCCACACTCCTTGTAAAATATACTTTTCGGAGATTGTACAGAACGGTTACCAACTACCCCAAGGTTTTGCATGTGTAGGTTATATATTCTGCAATAAAGGAAACACAAAAGTGGTTTTCAGATATACTTTATGTATTATATAAATAATCAACAGATCAAAATAAATTGTTTAATTTTGGCACAAGTCTTTTTCACTGACTTAGGTTCATTGTAGCACACATGTGACATAGAACAATTGAATGTCAAGGGGAAGGTCATCTGTTATCTATATCTTGTATGGCCTTCATGAGTAAAGAACTGCCTGGCACCATTGCCCAATGGTACAATCAGATTATGAATCAGGGCCTGGGCAGTGTTCACCCACTCTTCCTGGAGTGCTTGTGCCAACTGATTGAGGTTCTATGGCTGTTGCTGACATGAACGCAGACATTGATCAAGGCATTCCATAAAATGTTTGATGGGTTTAGATCTGGAGACCTTTGATGGCTATGACAGTACTTGCATGTTGTGATTCCTCAAAAATCCTGTGGTCAGTTTTGCCATGTCAGGTCAGGTGTTGTTGCATTGAAAAAGGATGTTTGCTTGTTGCACAATGGGAAGGACGTGTGGCTGAAGAATATCATCTATGTAACGCTGTGCCATTAAATTGCCTTGGATGTGTACTAAGTCTCTTCTACTGGTATGGGAGATGGCGGTCCACATCATTACACATTCCCACCACCAAACTTGTCCACTTCCTGTATTCAGTTACGAGCATCATTCCCCTTGACGTCTTTAAACACTATATCTTCCATACTTCATGAACAAATCACTCTTGATGCATGCAGACATGAGAAATTCAAATTTGGTATTAATTTAGTATAAATATCAGTAAAACTGCGTCAGAGATTTAAATTTTCCGACTTTGGTGCTTTTGTTTTGTTGCAGAGTATATATGAGGATTTGATGTTTACATTTTGTACGACATACTCAGAACACTGATAGCAAGGTCACTTACTTATCAGCTTCAGCTTCACTCTCAAGGCCATACTCTTAAACACTAATCATCCATAATGACATTACAACAAAATGTTCCTTTTTTTCTTGTTGTGAATGATGACTGCAACAATTACATGCTTGATATGGATCTGTAACCTAAATGGACTAATTTTGACTTCAAATAACTTTTAGTGGTTGCTGGATCTTAATTTGAAATAAACCACTTCATTACAAGTCACAGAGACTACAAAATCGAATGCACTTAAATACAGGGGAAAACGTTTGGGAATGTCATCACCACATCCTGTCCTTCATGCTTTGTAACCTGCATTTCTTCATGGTGTTTCTTTTCACTTCATTGTTGGCCATTTTTAAGTTATTACCAATTAATATGTGAAAAGAGGGTCCAGTCATCTGTAATTTGTTAGTGCTGTGGTGCTGAAGTCAGACAAAAAGTAGTGATCTGCACAAGTACTGTATCCCTAATGTACTCAGGGTAGTGATCTGCACAAGTACTGTATCCCTAATGTACTCAGGGTAGTGATCTGCACAAGTACTGTATCCCTAGTGTACTCAGGGTAGTGATCTGCACAAGTACTGTATCCCTAATGTACTCAGGGTAGTGATCTGCACAAGTACTGTATCCCTAATGTACTCAGGGTAGTGATCTGCACAAGTACTGTATCCCTAATGTACTCAGGGTAGTGATCTGCACGAGTACTGTATCCCTAGTGTACTCAGGGTAGTGATCTGCACAAGTACTGTATCCCTAGTGTACTCAGGGTAGTGATCTGCACGAGTACTGTATCCCTAGTGTACTCAGGGTAGTGATCTGCACAAGTACTGTATCCCTAATGTACTTAGGGTAGTGAATCGACAAGTGCTGTATCCCTAGTGTACTCAGGGTAGTGATCTGCACAAGTACTGTATCCCTAATGTACTCAGGGTAGTGATCTGCACAAGTACTGTATCCCTAATGTACTGAGGGTAGTGATCTGCACAAGTACTGTATCCCTAGTGTACTCAGGGTAGTGATCTGCATAAGGGCTGTGTTTCTTATGTCAAACAACCTTTACCCCTCGTACAGATATGCATTGGAGCTGTGCCTCTAATGTCAGACAACCTTTAGCCCTGATAGTGATCTGCATAGGAGCTGTGTCCCTATTGTCAGATAACCTTTACCCCTGGTACAGATATGCATAGAAGATGTGCCTCTAATGTCAGACAACCTTTAGCCCTGATAGTGATGTGCATAGGGGCTGTGTCCCTATTGTCAGATAACCTTTACCCCTGGTACAGATATGCATAGGAGCTGTGCCTCTAATGTCAGACAACCTTTAGCCCTGATAGTGATCTGCATAGGAGCTGTGTCCCTATTGTCAGATAACCTTTACCCCTGGTACAGATATGCATAGGAGCTGTGCCTCTAATGTCAGACAACCTTTAGCCCTGATAGTGATCTGCATAGGAGCTGTGTCCCTATTGTCAGATAACCTTTACCCCTGGTACAGATATGCATAGGAGCTGTGCCTCTAATGTCAGACAACCTTTAGCCCTGATAGTGATCTGCATAGGAGCTGTGTCCCTATTGTGTTAGAAGCATAGGAGCTGTGCCTCTAATGTCAGTAAAATATAGTGAGTTTAGGAAATATGTGAGCCAACCAAGCTCTTGTATTCTAAACTGTTAAATTTTCTTATTATGTTGGTTTAATATATATGTGGCTGTTGTTGACTAGAGTGTGTTTCCAAATGGCTCCAGCATGACATATGGCACAAGTCTGATGGAGCATACTTAATGTACATAGCCACCATAGCACCAGGGGAAAATGTCTTTCTTTGAGCAAGGACTGAAACTGTCAGCAGTCGTAATGGAATTGCAGCAAAAACTTGACAGGATTGTGAGAAAAGACCAGTAACTGACAACTTGCATAGCAGAAGGGTAAAAAAAGTCACTCCTAAATTTTCATTTCAACAAGTTTTCGTCAGTCAATGAATAGGTGACTCTGCCTCAATACCGCGTCAGTGCTTGGCTGTTAAATGTGACATAAATGTCATTGTGTGGAAGAAAAACCCTGACTACCAGAGGAATGTTTTTTGTCAAAATCCATTTAGCAATTTGCTTCCACTGCTGATAGCTTTCAGAGTCAATTTCTCATCATCTAATCAAATTTTACACATCAAAAGATTTAAATGGCTATATTCATGGGTTTTTCATGGTGCTTTGCTTGTTCATTACTTTGTGAATAAAGATGGCTAGTTTTAGGTATCTCAAGATAATGGTATTGGTGGAAATAGTCCAGCAGTGAAAAGACTAAAGGAAATAGTCCAGTCATGATAGGACTTTACAGAATAGCCAAGAAGGTTGGTAGCAGCGTTACTGGTTGGAACAGGGTGGGGGTGTAGCCAGGTGGTTGATGCATTTGCTCATCACGCCGAAGACCTGGGTTTGATTCTCCCCATGGGTAATGTGTGAAGCCTATTTCTGGCGTCCCCTGCCAATATATTGCTGGAATATTGCTAAAAGAGGCGTAAAACTAAATTCACTCACTAGTACGGGGAGAAGCGTAGTTACGATGTTAGATGGAACTTTGAGAAGTAGGTTGCAGTGTTCAGAAGCATCCAGTTGCAGCAGCAGTTCTGTCAAAGTCAGGGTTAATTGTAAAATTGTGTGCATCAGTTATTATCAGTTATTTAAGAATTTTCACAAAGAAAAATGCAGACTTTTAGTGATGTACTACTAGTTGAAAGGTGAAGCAATAACATCTGATCAGAGGCCATGTGGTAGCATGAAACAACCTAAATCTGTAATGCTGTTTGATAAATCAATTTTTCACATGTTATCTAATTATGGTTTCATGTTTTTGTTACATGATGTTTGAAAGATGGTTTTTGATTGACTAGGTTTATAGAATTATTTGAAATCTCTTCATATATCAGGCTGACAAGAGCTACCGAGCCCCTCATGATGCAAATTGAGTGATATCTGTATGAATCATCCGTGTGCAATCGACCATGCTAACAGTTCCCAGTGAGGGTAATTTTCTTGTCTTTTCTGGTTGGTGACATGTCTATAGTTGATGCAGGGATCACTTATGGCTTGCCTTGCAAGGTTCACTCTTCACCAGATAGGGACAGGTGGCCCTGATGTTGATATGACCAGTGCTACTTTTGTTTCTATTGCATGTCTATCCAATGAGCAAGCAGAAGGTAAACACATGTTTGTACTGCTCCTTATATCTCACCTGTACGAGTGTTGTTAAAAATGTCAGAGTGGTTGTGTGTGGATTCAGGGTTGTGGGTGGTGTCACCTGAACAACCATTGAGTACAGCCAATGTCAGATAACAGGTGACAGTTCTCGGATTGTCCAAGACACTTCTCTCCCCAAAGAAATAATACCTGAAAGGGAAGAATTCAATGCAGCATAATGCTTGTCACCAACAATAACAGACCTAACTCAAAGCACATCTCACCTGTTGCCTGTGTATTGGTGGGATAATTGTAAACCTTGAGGATGATGTTATATGGAAGGCAAATTACATGATCTCACTCAATTGTCAAAGTAATTGCTACAAAAATCTTGATGTTATATCATGCAACGTGGTCTTATATTCAGCACACTATTATCCTATAGCATAATTCTGTAAGACATTTGTATTAGAAGCTGTGACTTCAAGACTATTGGTAATCCACTGCTATGCATTCAGTGTATTTAGATGATAAAAGTATACTGTACAATGAATGTCAGTATTCATGGTTGATGATGACACTACATTGTACAATGTCTGTATATATGGTCCATGATGACACTACATTGTACACTGTCTGTATATATGGTCCATGATGACACTACATTGTACACTGTATATATGGTCCATGATGATACTACATTGTACACTGTCTGTATATATGGTCCATGATGACACTACATTGTACACTGTCTGTATATATGGTCCATGATGACACTACATTGTACACTGTCTGTATATATGGTCCATGATGACACTACATTGTACACTGTATATATGGTCCATGATGATACTACATTGTACACTGTCTGTATATATGGTCCATGATGACACTACATTGTACACTGTATATATGGTCCATGATGACACTACATTGTACACTGTATATATGGTCCATGATGACACTACATTGTACACTGTATATATGGTCCATGATGACACTACATTGTACACTGTATATATGGTCCATGATGACACTACATTGTACACTGTATATATGGTCCATGATGACACTACATTGTACACTGTCTGTATATATGGTCCATGATGACACTACATTGTACACTGTCTGTATATATGGTCCATGATGATACTACATTGTACACTGTCTGTATATATGGTCCATGATGACACTACATTGTACACTGTCTGTATATATGGTCCATGATGACACTACATTGTACACTGTCTGTATATATGGTCCATGATGATACTACATTGTACACTGTATATATGGTCCATGATGACACTACATTGTACACTGTCTGTATATATGGTCCATGATGATACTACATTGTACACTGTCTGTATATATGGTCCATGATGACACTACATTGTACACTGTATATATGGTCCATGATGACACTACATTGTATACTGTATATATGGTCGATGATGACACTACATTGTACACTGTCTGTATATATGGTCCATGATGATACTACATTGTACACTGTCTGTATATATGGTCCATGATGATACTACATTGTACACTGTCTGTATATATGGTCCATGATGACACTACATTGTACACTGTCTGTATATATGGTCCATGATGATACTACATTGTACACTGTCTGTATATATGGTCCATGATGATACTACATTGTACACTGTCTGTATATATGGTCCATGATGACACTACATTGTACACTGTACACTGTATATATGGTCCATGATGACACTACATTGTACACTGTATATATGGTCCATGATGACACTACATTGTACACTGTCTGTATATTTGGTCCATGATGACACTACATTGTACACTGTCTGTATATATGGTCCATGATGACACTACATTGTACACTGTCTGTATATATGGTCCATGATGATACTACATTGTACACTGTATATATGGTCCATGGTGACACTACATTGTACACTGTCTGTATATATGGTCCATGATGACACTAAATTGTACACTGTCTGTATACGATGTTCTGAATTTCATGTGATTTGTACAGACACTGAGCCACTTTTAGTGTATATAAAAGTAGAACTTTATTGCACAATTTTATTTTTTGTCCTTTTTCTGGTTTATGTGACATTTTCCACAGTGAAAGAGAGCTTCTGAAATTTATTCCAACTGTAACTATTGGTTAGAAGTGATATCATTGTTATACTGTCAAACATGTCGAAGGTGAACTCTGAATTGGGTGCACTTACAATGAAAAATATAAGGAAATAGTTTTGTTGGTATATGATCAATCACACTTGATGCTATTTGGAGTTAGATATTGAAGATACTGTGCTTGCCATGAACATATGATGAGGTTGCTTGAATGATTCAATTACAGAATAAGTCAAGTCAATGATTTCCTGATTCCGCAGACCTTATCCAATTGGTCATGGTTATTCAGATGACTTTTCAGGGCAAATGGGATAATGCAGCTGTTTGTGGAAGAGGAAAAGAGCCTTGTGATTGCTCTCATACAGCATAAGGATTAAGAGACATAAATAATGAAATAAGGGTAACATTCATGTTTAATTGTGTGATGACAATTATTTTGGTGTGAATTGAGCTGATTGATTTACAGTGTGAAATCTGGGTAATTGTGAAAGATGCGTGTGGAGTTGAGTAAAACAGGATAAAGTGTGGCTCTAGAGCTAACCAGTCAGTGCATCAATAACAGCTATCTATACAAGCAGTTCCTCTCCATGTCTGGGCCTGATATCGGTGGCCACTATATTCTGGAGGATATTGCGAGATGGTAATGAAGTTATGACTGTGACTGTGTTTACTGGGGTTCCAAGCAGCTTCAACATTACTATCCAGCTCAGTCTACAACATTGATCTATACTTCATCTCAGCCTGTTAATTGACTCTCAGAAACTGGACCTCATTTTATTTGTGTGATCTGGGTCTGAAGAAACCACATGTTAATACGGAGCTCCTTTCACTGCTTTAGATGTATGAGGAGTGAGTGAGTTTAATTTACGCTGCTTCTAGCAATCCTCCAGCAATATCTGGACAGCGGGGGACACAAGAAATGGACTGCACACATTGTACCCATGTGGGGAATCGAACCCGGGCCTTCGGCGTGACAAGCGAACACTTTAACGACTAGGCTACCCCACCTCTCCAGATGTATGAGGAAGAGGGGGTGGTGAATGCTGCAGGACATATGAAGAAGCTTCGTGTTATAGAAGTACTTCTTGATACTTGTGGCATTGTCTTGACAAGCATAGCCATACTAATGATATGTTTTCATTGCTAGTGTTATTTCCAGGTCAACATGCAATGAAATACCTACTAAGTTATGAGGAGCATGGGTAAAAAGCTGCTTTTTGAATGTGTTGTGGTGGGTAATAGCTTCTTCTCCTGTTGCTTTGTAATAGCTGACCAGTTTCCCAAGGTTTCCAGAACTTGTGCGTGTCTGTGCTGTTTGACTGTGGCACCAACCGAAATTGATCCTCAAACTGACGGCTTCCGGGGAGACAGAAATCGTGCCGTTAGAGGTGGCAAACATTGCCCCTCAAGCACATATCAGCTATTGATTCATACAGAAAATAATGAAAACTTGCTGCAAGATGGCAATTGTGGAATATGTGTGCCAGGCAACTTATCAGAGAAGGTTTTACTTGCCCACGAACAAAACCTGTTGTGAGGAAACAGACACTCTCATAATGGACAGAAAAAAGTTTGCCAACTTCTCCTGTAACAAATGACTATAGAGATAATTCACATAACTCGTTTTGTGACCTCCAATATTTCATCTGTCATTGAGAGAATCTATGATGTTGGTTTCGTAACTGTTATATTTGACTGATATAGAAGGGTTATTCATACTGAAACAAGGTTGTTAAGAGAGGTGAAGGTGGACAGTTGATATTCTTTCAGTTCTGTTGACCTACACTTTTAAACAAGAACCAAGAGGTTGGTTGTTGTTTTGTCAAATATGAATATTACATATGACTGCAATAAATTATTAGAATTTCATTCAAATTCTGTTTATGATTTGAGGCTGGAGGCATTTTATCTTTTACCTTTATTTTTGTAAATAAACTGTTGCAGACATCTGTGTACAGGTGTGATATACACAAAGTATGAATGTGATGTATTAGTACTACTATGTTTTATTTCATTATGTGAAGTAACAAGGGAACAGACATAACAATTTGCTGCACCTGTACTTACATGGAATGAATGATGTGATGAGAGATGGGGTCAGTATCATGGCCTATCAAACCGAAGATATGTGATTCTTGATTACGTAAACTTGACAAGTAGATGTTGGTCTAATTACAGCATGGTCAAAAATACAATACTATCATAATGTTAACACATTTTCTAGGAAAATTACCTTGATGCTTGGCCTAGGTTGGTGGTACTCTCTGATAAGACACCAGTTGTCTTTGTATTTTCACAGATATCTCCTACACACACATACATGGCGGAAGAATGCCCCATCCTTTGATGTAGCCCATCCCTGTATTATCTCCATGGAGTAATTCCATATCCTTGCCATGTTATCAAACTCCTAGGGAACTTGCCACCATGTTATCTCAGTCCCTAAAGCTCCTGCTATAACCCTTATGTGAGTAAGTATCCCTGCTATCAAGCATCACTTCAACATGCCAGTTTTAAGCCATTTTAATATTTAGTCTAAATTGAAGCAGTTCTCACGTAATTTGCAGCAGATGCAAAGTTAATGAGAAGTGATTGTCATAGAGGACATGTTGTCTGAAAGAAATGTCAATACACTGAGCTGTTTCCTTGCTGGGCTTAATAGAGCTTAAGTGGTCCTGTTTAGCTTTATGTCAAAAACTGATATGTGCCTTATGTAGGACTTTAATGGCAGGAAAATGATTATGACTTGGTAAAGCACCCCGTCCTCCTTTGATTATGATATATGTAAACTGTGTGTATGAAGGCTGTACTGAATCTATCTGTATTTACACTAGGATCAGGGAGTTCTATCATGGTTTACATAGATGAAAGAACCCCAGCTTCTAGGGGAAATGTGAACCAACATTCAAACCCTAACCTGATTCTTCAAGGGTACATGGACACAGAAAATATCTTTAATAATCTGAGATTTATTATGATTTCATCGAGTTTATCCACATTCATGGTGTAGACTGCATATGGAAAAAGACACTGCACCAAAGAATTAGTTAGGTAGCTGATATTTGGATTAATAGGGCCTGTAAGTCTCAGGAGGCGCTACTTCCAGTACTAAGCTGGTTCCCGGCTCCCTTTGCTCCCGCCAACTTGCGATATGCGAGACCGGGCCCAGCTTACTTCTGGTACCAGATTTCCAGTGACATGCGTATATTCAATAACCAGTTCTGGTTCCAAACTGCAACCACCAAATAGGACTTTACTGGACTGGACAAAGTATACAACCATGCTTGGCTGTCACAGCTATTGACAGTCATAATAGTTGGCTAATTTGGGGATGGTTAGATCGGAAATTTGTTATTCCTGCAAGGATTATTGGTTCCTTACTGTCAACTGACAACCATGAGACCAATCATAAGGTATGAAACGTTGTTTGTCACCGGAAGTACTAAGGTCTCGTGAAGTGCTGTTACCTACTTATGGGCCCCTTAATAGCAGCTATACTGCTGAGGCAATGGAAAATATTACCCCAAAGAATTAGTTTGGTGTCCCTTCTGTGACTATAACATGGGAAGATGGAAGGAGTTTGTCCAAGCTTGCCTGCTCATTAGGAGCATACTATTGATATTGCCTCAACTGCTATGGTACACCCAGCTGAATCTGGGGGTGCCGGATTCAACAGTGTACCTGTCAGCACGTGGTTTTGTTGAGGGATCAAGTTTGGGAGATAGTCTACTGCATAAGAGGGAAACTGTTCCCATAAACAGTCTGGAATGTAGGGAATAAAAACAACTTTGTAAAATTTGTTGATTAGTATGGGAGATTTCATGTTGAAGAAGTAAAATCATTCCCTGTTTTGATTGAAAGCGCATGTGTGTGAAAGTGACAAGATTTTCAAACTGGTATCTGTTTTCCATCATATAGAAGCACTTAGCGGGCACATACTGGAGTGTGTCGTGACATATGTGTACATTTTATTGCAATCTGTAGAGGTCTATCAACATTGGAGTATTACAGGTACCCTGGGTAATGTATTTAAGTAATAAATTGTGGCATCCAAGGGCTTGCTGTTGGTTCAGGCTGACCCAGTCTGTGTGTGGTAAATGTGCTTTCCATCTTCACAACAGAAGCTTCTCTCTCTGTTTTTCTGAGAATTATGAGCAGCCCAATTCTGCTGTACATAAGAGTTAGAAATAGGCTATATTCATTCACATTTATTCTAGATGTTTGTTCCTGATTGTAGGCTGCATACCAGGGGGTAAAGCATGAACGGCTGATCAGTTTGTGCTGAGATTGTGTCTGATGAAAATGAAAGAGAATCGATCTTCGTAAACATTTCAGATTACATATGTTTGTATTTTGATATGACAAAATCTTATTAAGTGCATGTGTGCATGTTGATCCATCAGCAGAGAGTTCTAAGGCTTGAAACCAGCTATCCAATGTGTTTCCCTAGACATATACCATAAAGTTAAGAAGGATTATGTGGCTGTATAACATGGTGATATAACTGAATCTAGATAACATGGGAGATAATCTGCTGAACTCCCGTTCTAACTGCTATGACTTAGAATATCTTAACAAACATTTAGCAGGTTGGTAATGAGGTCAGATATGTGACATAACAGTCAGTAGGCAGTGGACAGGCCAGTGAAGTGGAACATGACACCAGTTGTAACCAGGGAACCCCCTGCCAGACTTTCACAACTCTCCTTCCATCTCTCTCTCTCTTCTTGACCCCTACCGTAGCAGAAACACCCTGCATACTCCATGTCTAATGGCCTCCCATGTTACTCCAATCAATTAAACACATCAGGAGGTGTTGGTAACGGCCACAGTGTTTTGTAACAGGAGGGGTCGAGGGCAATAGGAAGTGACTGGCCCCCAATTACTGTTGGTCTGCAGCCAGCACTGGGAGGAGGGGGAACCCAGGTGTTAGTTGTAAAGGTTGAGTTGGTGGTGGTCAGGCAGCCCATGTACAGGACGAAACCTGGGTATTTGGAATGCTAGCCACTGTATTCAGGAGTATATGAAATGCTGGATTATTTGTGAAAATATTCTGTCCTTATGGTTTCCTTTGTTGGACTTACATTTTGGACATACATCTTCATAATGCCTGGTGAGTACTAATAACTAAGTTTTCAATGTTCAGAAGATGATGTCTGATGGATGGTAGACTAATGTCGTACTGACAGTCACAAAGATCACTTATGCTGAATGCTTTCAGAACACAAACTGTGACCACTTTTGATATTGTTATTTGAGAAACTTTCAAGATGTGAATGGTTTTGTTTCCAAATCAAGCATGTGTGTTCATTTCTGTCAACTGGGAATATTTGTAATACCAGAGTGGGTTGAAATATGTTTTTTAGAACTCATCACATTCCTGTTTTTATTCAATTGCGACCTGACTTGATGATTGTGATCTTTAAATGTACTGAAATCCTACTCTATGACATTAATAGCCTTGAAGTGTTGGTCTGAGGGTCTGACACTGACCAAGCACTGGAGGGAATTAAGAGAGATGGCAGGTTAGGGTGGAGAAGACAGGATGTTATGGTGCTAAGTGGACATACAGCAGCGGCAGCAGCAGCAGCCCCATCAGCAGGAAACACTGATGTTCTCCCTGGGACATCCTCACTTGCCTTGATTTACTACTGGGATGCAGTCTTGTTTACATTCTGGCGTCTCTCATATTTACTGCTTTAATGGCATGTTACTAACTGTATTTATGCTCCTTCTCCATGCCTATTTACCTGCACTTCCTGGGTGAGAAGTGCCTTCTTACACTCTATACATGTGCCACTACTTATGTTCACTGCATTTTTTGCTGCCTTTTCTGCTGCCATGAAATTTTACAGTTGTGGTTGGTGACTTTAATGATTGCACATGAGGGACATGGCTTGCAGACATCACTGGTACTTATATAAGACATCACTGTAGTCATAAATACAATTTCTTTTTGTGTTTTTTTGTTTTTAATTTTTATTTTTGCGTAGCAAAATTCATCAGAATATTAGCATAAGTTGCTGCTTACCTCCTAAGGTATCTAACCCTACTGATATCAATGGGACAAAAAGCTGGTTGAATGAAGTGCTAGAATTTACATAAGAGGTGTAGTACTCAATGTTGTTTGATGTGTTTATCCTCCCTGTTGTCCTGCTGGGGCTTTGTGTGAGTGTGAAGGTGCCACCTACCTTCACAGAGCCATCTTGTAGGTCACACTAAACACAATCAACAATTACATGGCCATTATCATCTAATGGACTGCAGTGACCACATCTGAATGAGATTAGTCACAATAGCCTTCTTGTAGCTGGAGAGCATCCAGTGTCTGCTTGCTATCTCATTGTGCCTGCACACCATTAGCCTGACTATCTAATGACCCACAACAAAGAAACATCCTTCATTATGCAACATGAGAAATACCACAATTACAGTTATTCAACCTGACTGACTGTGCCTGATACACCAGCACAATGGTGATGACCTACAAGGCTGTGCCTGGTCAAGGTGTCTGTATAGGTCATTCCTCTGCTTCAATCTGCCTGCAGCCACACCCTGACCTCTCACCACCTATATTACAACTGCATGCTGCATGTACATCCAACACCCTGGCATACAGCAGTTCTAGGCTAAATGCCAGACCAGGATGAAGTCAATAGAGGAAATTCCTGTTTCATCTGCTGACAGAAATGTCATAGCGTCATCGTGTTTATTGAATCAGATTTCTCTATGTTTTGTAAGGATTGAGTTGTGTATGTTAGTACGCTGTAAGTGATTGAGAAGAAGATCTGCTAGGTGTACACACACACATAATGGAACCACAAGCAGGCAAGCTGTCTATGTCAATTTTCACATTCTCACTTCTTATCACAGAAAAGTCAAATCTGGAATTACCTAAGGATTGCAAGCTAAGGAAAGTATAGAGCTCCTGGGCATGTTGGCATGCATTGCTAACAAGATATTTCCCTTGAGGGATTTTTTACATATGTTTATAACATTCTTTACTCCCTTGCCGAGCAGGACATACCGAATCATACTCAGTGAATTCCCAGAGGGTAATGTCTTCCAACTTTCATATTGCCACCACTCAAATGCCACATTCAACAGGACTTCACCATGTGTGACCACTGAAAACAGGGATTTGCCGCCTTGTAGTTGATTTAAACCTATCTAACACTGAAGGATGTATGTATGTCGCTGACTTGGTATATTTCTGACCATGCCATAGCTAGTCCACATACATGTGTACACGAGGTTTGGTGGACAGGCAGCAATGTGAGACAGTATCAACATCACCAATACTAGCATAGACATGGAATTGAAAATACACCATTTTGCTTTATTTATTACCTGCAAATTACTTTTGTTATTGCATGACATATGATAAACAGATTCAACAATTTGCTTTATTTATAGTTGAGGAAATGGTAAATTAACTAGCTGTTGTTATTGTACTATATATAGGATATGAAATGTATTGATTTTCTTTCCCAGTTACCTGTCTTTTCAGTATATATGGCACAGCCACTGAACGAACGGCAGTGTTCTTAATATTCACTTCGCACTTTGACTTCAGTATTCTATATACAGAGATTATTGTAGTAGCATGTGTGCCACTCTGATTATACAAAATGTCAGATTTCCAAAGCATGACTGAGTTTAATAATTTCTTTAATACACATTACTTCTGGATTCTTTGAGACCAAAATGCACCGAGAACAACAACCATCAAATGATGTGAGCATGATCAAATGATTGTTTCTAGTCAGATGATATTTCCAAGGTTCACGATAACATTTGAATGATGTCAACAATGACATCCAGATGACGTAAACAATACACTCAGTGCATGTGAAGTCATGTCGTCCCAAGTGCACATACCATTTTTGTGATTATACCTATTGGTATTAATTAACTATATCATTTATCACCAATGAAAAAGCATTTACATCAATAAGGAAATTGACAAAGGTGTTGCTTGTAGTTGTGGAGATAACGGAGTGAGTGTGAGGTCGTATCGTTGCAACTGGCATTGCTTGTTTAGAACACCCCACAGAGAGAGGAAGGCATCTTTATCAAGTTTACATCTATGCGCTTAGCCACAGACTTGGAAATGGCTCTGCTATCCCCTCCAGTGGAGACAGCCCACAGGATGATAGATCTAGGAGAAGAACAGCCTGATTTGTTCAAATTGCCCATGAAATTGAGAAAGCAAGTTTGGCAGTAATGACTCTGT